TTCTTAAATGAATTGTCAGAGTAGAAAGAGGTCATTCATTACTAATCATAACCTAGCTCATTCTTACCAAAAAGAATGGCCTCAACTTAACTTTACTTTAATTCAATCTTTATTGTTAAAAAAATTGACATGATTATAGAATTGTTATTTCATTTGGGACATAATTAGTAAACACCAATGATGGGTAATTTCCCTATTTTCAGTACTAGATGTACTTAAATCTTTTAAGCTGAAAAATTATATTGAATACTGTTCAGTAGCGACTTTCTCATTAAAGCAACTACCAAATCTCTCAGACATGTCCAGTGAAAATAAACCACTTCATAAGGAGATAGTATGTAAAATAAGTAGATTAGAATAGAAAAAACAATCGAGAAGTCACCTTTTTACAGTGTTAGTGATAATGTAACAGGGTGCAGCCAAGGTGGGAGGGGCCCAAATAGGGATTTGTAATGGAGTCCAGAACTCAGAGTGTTCAGGAAATATCAGGTAAAAAAAATATGATGTCCTCACCCCACCAGTCTGAGTTGGGGAATGGGACACATGGAGCAGGGCCATTGAGTCCTGTTTTGCATAGCAACAGCTTTGCAGCTAACCCCTGGCATGGTCATTTAACATATCTATAACTTTTAACTGGTTTCATAGATATGTTAAATAGCTGTGGCCATTCTGTGAGCCAAGGGGATTGGAGTGACTTCAACCCAGGATGTGACTCAGAAGCAACTCTCCCTGGTTACAGCGCCTGTGTGAGAGCTTGGAGATGATTGGCTCCACACTATGGGACCATGCCGGCCCAGACTTACTATGGCAGCCTAGTAGAGCTGGAAGAATACAAGCATGCTGGCAGGTGTAACTGATTGTGGGAGGAGTCAGAAATGGGGCTGCAAAGGAAGAATGGCAGGGGTGGGGGTGGGGATTAAAACCCAGGCGCAACAGCCATATTAAGTCAGAGAGGACCACATGGCTTTGGCAGAGTAGGTTGGTACCACACAGATTTGGAAGAGATTGGGACCATGTGGAGATCGTGGCAGCAACACGGCGGATGGTGCTGGAATAGAGGGGCTGCCTGAACCATGGACTTCTACTTCTTTTCCTGAGATATGGTACCCCTGACTGGGCAAAGGGGAGAAGGAAGGACTGTGTGTGTTTGTGAGTATTGTAAAGGACTTTAGTATTTTAATGAAGACATTAAGTCATTACTCTAAGTCTGTGTAACCTTTAAATAAATAATTCCTTTCTTTTTCACCAATCTCTAGCATTGAGAGATGTCTTTCCTCTGGAGGTGGGCAAAGTGAACCTAGTACAGGGGGGGAACCCCCAGTGAAAAAGTGGGGGCCTTTTGGTAATAGTATATTGTTCACCCCCACCCCTGGGTCTGTTACAGAACAGACCCAGAACAGAACGGGTCTGTTCTGTAACAGTAATTGTATTATATATATATATATATATTATATATATATATATATATAATATATTTTATCAAACACCTTCTGTGTAACAGATGCTGTGCTTTGCAAATCTATACATCTCTGAATAAAGAGGTGATGGCAAATAAAACTCTCATGCCTTAAACCCCCCGATAGTGCTCATTGTCTTTGGACCTTTGAAGTTGTTTCACAACTCAGTCTTCACCAAGAGCCCCCCAAATTATTTTGAAACTAAAACACCTTGTTCAGAATAGAGGGTCAAATAAGAGAACATGATAGCTTAGCTTTTCTTCCTCTTAACGAAGGCTATGGGGAAATATTTAAGACTTATATTAAATATTTAAGACTTATGTCTCACAAATGGTGTAGGTGTAAAGATATTACTTAAATGTAAGGGAAAATGTATACATTAGTGTTGCTAATTTAGTGTTGCATAAATATGTATTACACAAGAAGATTATTAGATGCTTAGTGTTGAATAATTTGTCCTTAAGGTGCATTACTTGTTTTTTTTTTTAAGTTTTAGGTGTAGATTGGATGGAGAAAAACTCATTATATCCCTACATTCTGGTGGATCTAGACTTTAGTTCAGAATACGTTACAGTAACTACCTGAGCTTCCAACTATTCTTGATCTTTCACCAAAACACTTTGGCAAGTTCTTTCCTCTCTTATACAATCTGCTTTATATTATTTTTAACAAATGTGAACACCATTTAATGCATAGCAGGTGTCTAGCACTCTATACAATATTTTATACAGTCAATTCACTACACCCTTTTTTATAGATGAGAAATCAAGGGTCAGAGCTTAATGTACAATCCAAGGTTATAGCACCAGTAGGTAACATGTCTGAGATTTGACCTGTGTCTCTCAATGCCATGCTGTTATTTTCCACTCGGACCACTAATGTTTCCTCTAGTCCTTTTCTTCTATGACCATGGCATCCAAGCAAGTCCAAATGCAGACAGACCCCAGTGCTTTGGCATTTGAAAAACCCAGGTTCAGGTTCCCACTTTACCACTTACTAGCTGGGTAAAGTTGACCACATTACTTAAACTTCTCTAATTCTTAGTTTCCTCATCCATAAAATGCAGATTATACTAGTAGCTTCATCATGGAATCCTTCTGGTGGTTAAATGAGGTTGCGCTTGCAAGGCAGCAGCATAGTGCTGGCTTAGGAAAAACGCTCAATATTAAGTTAAGAAATGATACCATGTTAAACCTTATATATTTGTTTACTCTTGAGAATGTTCTTGTTAGGCTTTCAGCATATTTTGATATTAACTTTAACATAATAATGCAAACCTTTTGAATAAATGCTCGTTATAGTGACATATCTCTTCTCTGTTCTCAGACCTGGGTTTCTAAAGTAAATACAGTAAAAATTTCCATACTTATGTTGACTTGGATATTTTCATAAATTTATAAAACAAAGAATAACCAAGGCATTTTTAAATCTGGGAGAACACAGAATTCATTCCATCTAAGACTGTGTGAAGGTGTGGCCTGTTCAGTCACACGGTTTCACACCTCTTGCCATGGGATGACACCCCGATAATTGAAGCAAAGCCCTGAAGCACACAGAAGACCAGTCTGATGTGTGTGAAAGTCTGAAGTGATGGTGCTTCAGGAGGGAAGGAGTTGTATTGCTGAAACAGTACTTACTTGGAAAACTTTAATAAAAACACAAGACTGAGGTATACACAAGGTATAATACACAAGGTATAATATACCTTTTTCTAAGGTATGTTATGCATGTTTTCCTCTGTGTTTCTGTATGCCCCTTTAATTTATTGGCTTGGTAAACCTTTCCTTCCGGGGATACAGAGAGTTTGGCTTCTGTGGAGGCCAATTCAATTACCCCAAATATCACATCATGTAACTGAATTAAAGAAATGCTACGGGAAGGGAGAAAAAGAATGGGATTCTGGCTTGACTTAGGCATGGTGGTCATTTACACTGAAAGTCAGTTATATGAAATGGTATAATGAAGCAAAGGGGAGTAGAAGGAAAGATAAGAAATAAGTGTTTGGAGAATATGGATATGTGTCCTTCTGAGATGTTGAGAGTTTGTTGTGTAGAGTGAAGATATTAAGAATTCTTTGTTGGGCCTCGGCTGGTGTAGCTCTATGGTTTGAGTGTGGTCCTGCGAACCAAAGGGTTGCTGGCTCCATTCCTGGCGTGGGCACGTGCCCGGGTTGCAGGCCAGGTTCCCAGTGTGGGGATACTGAGAGGCAACCACACACTGATGTTTCTCCCTCCCTTCCAGTTTCTCTAAAAATGAATAAATAAAATATTTTTTTTTAAAAAGAATTCTTCATTGATAAATGAGTGAATGTATTTTGTTGGTCTCTTAAATTAGGAAATGGTTCTATTATCAAAATAATATGTGACATTTTACATGTTGCTTCTGTGAGTAGAAATTTATATGACTTTTAGGAAAAACTATCTGAACCTGCTTATTCGTGCACGTCTGTTACCTAGTAATGCCTTGGTAGGAGTCTACTCTAGAGGGCAGACACCAAAACAAAGACATGTACTGAGATACTCACTTCAATATTATCAATAGGAAAAAAAAGAAAGAATATATTCACTAACAGTTACATTCGATGGAGTTAGAATGAAGGCATTAAGCTGCTGTTCATGCCCCTGAAAATTTACACAGGAAAATGCTTTTATGCTAAGTGATTAAGGTCGAATACAAAGTGACGTAACAATGGACAGAGATGTCATCCCTTTAAAATGTAAGATTGATCAGGTCATTTCTGTGCTTAAAACCTCACAGTAGCACTGCAATTCCATCCGAAGGAAAACTGGACAGTTTGTCACCATGGGCTACAAAGCCTTATGTGCTTGGACTCCGAGTCACCTCTGGAGCTTGTGTCCCCCACACTGCCTCCCTCCACTCCGGCCACACTGGCCTCCTTGCTTCTCCCAAAACGGGGCAGGCACACTGCTGTCTTAGCACTTTCCCTAGCTGTCTGCTCTGCTTGGAATGCTCTCAGGTTGAATACCTGCTTACTTTACTTTACCACCCCTGCTAGAATTTTCTCAAATGCCTCTTCTCAACAGGGCTTCTCGTGACCACCCTGTGGAGTTGCCACCCAGGCCTCCCTATCCTTGGCTTCCCAATCTCTCCTACCTTGCTCTATTTTTCTTACCATCAGTATTATAATTTCCTAATATTCTATAGGAGGTAAAGAACAAACCTATTTACTGTGTTTGTTATTTGTTATGTGTCTTTCCTCCTTGCCTAACTAAAATTTTCTGTCGAGTCTTGATACCGAATTCCCTATTAGTGGTGTAGAGTCATTTAAACCAGAGGAGGGTAGCAGGACCCTGAAGGGATGGGACACAGAAAGGGTGACATTTGACTATAGAAATAGGTAAGGTGCACAGCACAGTTTGCATTTGGGTGGAAGTGATTCTGTAAACCAGGAAGCCTCCAAAATCAGGGTCAAAATCTGAGAGTTGGGTACCCAGGGGGCTCACAGGATGCTGGAATAAAAAAGGCAGCCCTGGTCACGACCTGTCTGTATTAACTCCCTGGACTCCACACCCCACAACGAACCTGGATTCCTGGGAGTGGTTCCTGGCAGGCAAGGCGGCAGAGTGGCAGGTAGGTGAGTCTGGTTCAATTACCCACATGGCTGATGGAGAGGGCCACAGCCACAATAGAGGAGTTGTCAACACCAGCAGATGTGGAGAGGATGCAGGAGAGGAGAGGAGAAGGGTGGGGGAAAAAGAAGCAGAAGTTTTAGTATCATGCAAAGAAAAAGACGTATTCACAGCAGGCTGTCTTTAAAAAGAACAATAAGGAGAAGGTAGAGGATGAGGCTGTAACAACTAAAAAGTGATCAGAAAGGTTCAAAGATTACATGTGTGTTTTCACATAGCATCTCTCATGGGTAATATGCTGGATTTTTGTCTTAGATTGAGCTTCACATCTTTGAAGCATAAAAAGGTCATTTTCATCTTGCAGGTAAGAATTTTAGAGTCTTCCAATCTAGTTTACATGTACCAACAGGTAAAGAGTACATTTTGTGCTTCTTGAGTTTAATATTTTTAATATTAAAATTTATATTATGCCCTGGCTGGCATGGTCAGTAAGTGCCAGCTATGAACCAAAGGGTTGCTGGTTCAATTCCCAGTCAGGGCACATGCCTGGGTTGCGGGCCAGGTCCCTGGGTGGAGGCGTGCAAGGGGCAACCAAACATTGCTCTTTCTCTCCCTCTCTTTCTCCTTCCCTTTCCCTCTCTCTAAAAATAAATAAATAAAGTCTTAAAAAATAATATTAGGAGTATATCAGGACAACAGATTTTTAAGGACATTTATTCCAGTTTCTTTGAATGATGCATAGTTCAGTTTCTATACAATACTCACTCTATAGTAGATATAGTAGGATTTCTTCATGTGTGCATGTTATATTCTTAACCAAAAGTTCCTTTCCAAGGTACTATGAGGGATTATCAAAATATTCAACTGTATTTATCATCCAAATTAATTTCAATTATTGGGGTTTCAATCTGTTTAATTCTAGAAGATGAAACCAAGGCCTCAAACCAGGCCCAGGATTTCTGTTGGAAGGTGAACAGTGAATCCACTTCTTACTCATTCAGCAGGAACTCTTTCTGAGGTAAAATTTGAGAGTAAAGAGTCTTTGCTTTCTGAAGGTAGATGATAAGATAAAAGTGAACAGGACACAAATTATATGCAATTATTATTAATGCCAATGCAAGTATTATGCCATGTATGAATTATAACAAGCAAAAAAATTGTTCACTAAAAATACCCTAAAATAAATGTGAATAAATATTGTGTGTGTGTGTATTATATGATTTTATAACCATAGATTCCCAAACAGCCAAGATTCAAATGACCTTGACTTGTTCTTGGAAATCACATTTCCTCCTTTCTAGGGGAAGCAGAGCACAGAACTGAGCCGATGGGTGTGCGTCATCATTGTTAGGACAAGATAGCCGTTGGCACAGCAGGGTTACACCCGTTGCCTCTTTAGAGGCCGCTGAGAAAAGCGAATTGAGAGCTGACAATGAGCAAACCCATCAAGAGAGATTATGTAAAGGGACTTCCAGGGTGCCGAGTGCCTCAAACAGTTATCCTCTTATCTCTGACGCGTTCAACAGTGCTGCAAACATTTCTGAGAGAAATCCTGTAAATTTAATATTTACTACAAATTATAGTTGCAAACAAGCAATAGAACATCGATGTTGAACAGACAAAGAGAGGGAAGCAGAGGCCCGAGGTTTGGGAGCCGTTAACCACAGCGCAGGGTGGGAACTCAGCAGGAGTTCGTTTAATAGCCTGTTTATGGGCAGTGTGGGACTGAAGGTGTCCTATATAGAAGATCCTCACAGTTAGCAATGTCTTCCCTTGTGACAGATTGAAGTTACAATATGCCAATTAAGAGAACAAGACTCTTTACCCTCCTCAAGACCTACTTTGAGATGATTACTATCTTTTATACAAACTTCCAAGTGTCTACATTACGATTTTCCAAAGAAGCTGACCTGTGCATCTTGAATATGACTATTGTACCTCCTGATTGTGAGAGGACTACAGAGAGAAATCCCCAAAAGGCTTTATTTATGCCCATAGTCCTGAGCGTACTGGATGATTCCTGCAATGTCCCAATTCTCCACTGTAGGGAACATGACACTTATCTCTCCAATTAAAATTATATGTGCCAGGGCTAACATCAATAGATCATCATATTTATATAAGCCAGACCTTCTGGTCACTAATTCAGATTTACCTCTGAGCTGCTCAGTTTTGAAGGCAAGATCTATAAACACTGGTGTTTCTTTTCTCCTGAAATGCTCAGTCGAAATGGGGTTTCTTTCTACTGGTGTGTTAGCAATTTTGTCAGCCACTTTGTAAGCAGAAAAAGCAGAGAGGACATAATCCTTTCTAAGCAATCATACACTAGGTAGGAATGAATCTGTGTGTACATTTCTTTTTTCATTCTTTCAATAAAATAGCTACTGAGCACCAGTATTGTGTGAAGTGCTCAAGATACTGCAGTGAGAAAAGCAGGTAATCTACACCTTCATAGAGTTCATGGTGTTTTGGAAGAGACTAAAATAGCAACATGCATAAAGTAAAACATGTAAGAGATTAAGAAAAATAACATTTGAGCATTACTCTGGTAAAGTAAAAATTTCCACATAGGTTGCCCAGTTTTTTTTCTGCAAATAATGAGGATCAGGTATACAAATAGCTAAATAATTTGCCAAAGTCACATAGTACATCAAAGAATATGATCTTAAACTCAAGCCTTCCAATTCTATAACTTGGGGGACAGTTTTTATTACAATGGACTGTCTGCAGAGCACCCAAACTGAATGAAATGTTCTCAAAGAGTTGTGTATTGAACATCATGGCGAGGAAATTTCCAAATGATCTGAAAGATTGCATATATATGTGAATGCTTCAGGGATCTCCAGTGGAGTCTCAAAGAGAGCAGAACTCCATGAGAACAGAATGAAACAGCTGGATAATTAACAACGGATTCTCTTTTTCTCTTGTTTTTCTCCTTTCTCCTTCTCTATTTGTTTTTCATACGAATTGCTTACAGGGCAATTCTGAGTTTATTTGCCTTATTGCAGGTGCTTCCATTACTTTGGCTGATTAATATGAGGGTAATGGAGGTACTATTTTGGGGAGAAGGCAGCTGAAGAAAGTGAGGAAGGAGTATATTTACCCAAGGCAGGGTTGGGCTACAGAGACCACTGGAATTTGGGTGATTTGGACTCTTTCCCAATTGTTAGGGAAGCTTTCGTTGGAGAGCCTTGGAAGTAAACTGTTAAGATGAAATATTTTCACAGGCTACTTAGGTGGCCACACAAGAGCAGTAGTTGTTTTGTCTACATTGCATAACCAAGACTCTTAAAAGGAAAGGAAAGTTACCAAGAGAAAACAGAAACTGAGTTTTAAATAGTGTTGCTTCTTACTGAGCCATCGTTATTAGCCAGTTTCAAAATGGACAAGACTGATGTGGAAATGTCAGGGGCACAACGGCACGCTCGGTTTAGTGAAGCTAATTATGAATGATACTCTTGCAAAAGGTCAGGAATTATGCAGCAGATCGGATACCACACTCACAGGTTCATTTCTTCTGTGACTGCACTAAAAGTGAGGCCACAGGGAGAACCCAGCAATTCTCTAGTGAATTTAATCAGTGCCCATGTTCCGTGTTGATCACCCATTTGAACAATTTCCTATTCGTTGTCCAAATTGTCCACTGAACTGCATTCGTCACCTACTTTTCTCTTGTTCACACCTGATAAAGCTCTGTGAAAATAAAATATGCAAGATAATTGTGATTGTACTTTATGTCTTTCTTTTTCGGCATAGTTTGCATTATTTTACCCCTTATAATAGGACTAAGAGGCCAATCACCCCCCAGTTCCAGTCTGGGGGGTGGGGGTAAAATAGGAGTGGGAAGAACCAAAAGCAAGCTTAAGGTGTGTTGTAGGGAGTATGAAAGGCCAAAAGCCAAGAGACTGAATTCTATTGCCAAGTTTTCAGAGTGATCATGGGCCCACCCCAGAGGTAAGAAAATGTCAGAAGAATAAAAATTCAGGAGGATTAGAAAATGGAGTCAAGTATGGGCGGTATGACCCCTTCCTTCTATGTGGAGATGAGAACAGAGTAATGTCTCCCCAAATACCACAAAGGAGCCCTTTGGGATCCTCTGGGGTCCCCTCCCTATCTGCATAACATCTAGCCAACCTGCTGGGAGTCTGTTTCATGAGGCCTTTATGTAGTTTGAAGCTCAAGAAATACTTTTAAAGTGTCCTCTTGTTGAATAAACCTCTTCTGGTGACCTTGTGATCTTAGCTCTCCATTGTTCTATCTACCTCTGTCTTCAAGTATTGTGATATTAAAATTATAATTAATGAGCAACAATAACAGTTCCTATTTATGGAACATTTCAAATACGCCAGGCCCTGGCTATTTCCTTCATATGCATTATGTCAACTAGCATTTCCCATCATCCCCAGCTTGAAAAACAATGACATCCCACAGTTTTTAGGATGAAGATGCAGTTGACCCCAAAGCTTAACATATTCTGTCTCCCATCTAACTTTCAGGTGTCCTATGTCACTCTGCTCTTCCTCATTTCCTGCCCCCAGGCACACACCCAGAACAGTCTAAACGCTCCAGCACTTCCTCTCCCAGCACCTTCCCAACTGCCCTCTGCCCTGCAGAAGCACTTCTTCCCACGAGGCCCTTCTTACCTCTCCCACTTGAGTCTTGTTTCTCTTTACTTGTTCTCCAAGACCATGTTCTTTTCCCATGGAGCACACATGCCACTTTGCTCTATAGCCACTGATGTTATCTGAGTAGTGTCTTTCTGTCCCACCGGTATTGAAGTTTCATGACAATGGGATTGACTTTATTTCTGTTCATTATTGCATGCCCAGCTAATGTTAGCTAGTGTACATTAAGGAGTCAATAGCAGTAGCGAATAAATAAGTGAAAATAAATTTTATTTTTCACAGGCTTATATTTATCTTATATTTGGTCCTAGCTCCTCGTAAATGGTCCATGGCAGCCTTTTTTTTTTTCCCACCCCAGAGGCATACGGGTGGACCCATTATGGGTATCAGTGATTCGGTTACTATAG